TTCGACAGAGGAGGGGTGTCAAATCTTGCTTCACAATGTGATAAAGAACTCCATATTTTCTTCCTTTCCGTTCAGTAAGTAGGCGGATTTGACCAAGTGGCCAGACTACAGTCTTGTTGTGCATGATGAGCCTTGTAAACGACTGTTCAAGGTTTGTACACTGTTTGTCTCCTGTAGCCCGGATGTAGGCACTTTTGGGGAGAATGTTACATGAAGCACCTGTATCAATCTGAAGTTGTACTTGGGCATTATTGTTAAGGCACGCCGTTACATAAGCTGATGTGGGGGAGGGTTTGTGGCTGTAGATTTCACAATCTTGTACGTGATTGACAGAGCGAGAGTGGCATTTTTTTGCAAAGTGTCCGTCTCTGCCACATTTGGTGCATTTCTTGCCAACTGCTGGACAAGCTGACTTTTTCATCTAACAGTACCACAAAACTTGCATTCTCGTGTGTATACATTGTCGGGGTTACCAGAACTTTTTTCTCTTGACTTCCACGGAGGAGTCCGCTTCTTACCTGAAGTGTGTTTATGCGGTGTTGTATCCTCAGTCTGGGTCTTAGGCGGTTTCGTTTTCTTGGCTTTTACCCTATTCACATTAGCTTCTTCAGTTGTCATGTCTAAAGCGCGTATATCAGTTAGCTCTTGTGTTCGCAGGATATCCAACGCGTTATCCAAAGTGAGATCTTTCTTCTCTAAAAGTTTCTTGCGTGACCGATCATTCTTGACTCCAAGGATGAGGCGGTCTCTTATCAAGCTGTCTCTTAGGGTTAGGAACCCACAGTGTTCAGAAAGGCGCATCAGTGCTGTGCAATATTGATCGACACTTTCTCCTGGTTCTTGCTCTCTCTTGTTGAAGAGGTACCGGTGATGTTCGGAAGGTTTTTTGCATATCATAACACTTAGTTGTACAAACTGGAGATGTGTCCAGTTTTCTTTGATGCTTGCCACCAGATGTGATTATTCATATCTGCCTGTAATTTTACATCTATTTGGTACAAGCTCATAAAAAAACACAAATCTATATTTGTATTTTGGCTTTGACACCCACTATGATTGATTTTGTATTTTTCAGTTATTATGACTAATGATTTTAAAATGATTGTCTTTGTAGATTTCTGCAGTGAAGCAGATTATCTTTGATATAATTCTGTTCCAAAATAAATTAACATTAACTTCTATAGTTGCATGAATTAAATGTTGATTAAATGGGCAGGACTGGAGACTAGCTATTTTGTCCAGGCTTAAATATGGTGAATTCAATTGAATTAAAATCTAGTTTTCATATGTTTCTGTATTGCTTTTGTTTTCAGGAGCTGATTGGCGATGTCAGAAACTGTGAGAACTGATGAGAGAAGTTCAAAAAACATTTATGGTGACCCACCAAAAGTCAATATTAGTCTTCCAGAGAAAAGTGAACTAACTCAGAATTCTAAACATTGGAAGGATGTTCAACTCCCAATTGACATTCTGTTGTTAACAGTGAAGGACTGTGAATTCTTAAGTTGCTACTATTACATTAGTGATCCATTTAGAAGCTATTTTAAAGGGCTTGGTCATGTGTACTTTGGCAGCTTTGGTGAAGATCAAGATGTTAAACTGAAAGTAGCTTTGATGAAATGCTCAGAGGGTCGTAAAGTTCCTGGTGGTGCTTTGACTGTTGTGAAAAATGCTGTTGCTCAGCTGAGGCCAAAAGCTGTCTTTTCTGTGGGCCACTGTAGTGGTATGAATCAGGAATCAACAAAGCTTGGGGATGTGGTTCTATCAGAAAAGCTCACAACCTATTCCTACCAGAAAGTTACAAAGGATGGAAAGAAATTTTGTGGGTTTACAACTCCTGTAAGCAGAGGCATTGCTGAACTCATTGAATGTGCAGGTTATGGTTGGAATCCACCCCTAGAAAATCCTAAAGAGAGGAAAGTTGAAGTCCTCTGTGGTGAGGTTTTGAGTGGTACTGAGGTCGTGCGTGCTGAATGGCGACAAGAGGAACTAGTGAATTCATTTCCTGAAGCAATTGCAATTGAAACAGAAGGAGAGGGTAAGATCTCTTTTCCCTTTGAAGTAACTGTTACTGTAAAATCTGTTCAAAGAGATATTTGGGTATATTTGTATCCTGGAAAGAAAGAGTTGATACTCATATGTTGTAAGTAAGCTTTTCTGCAAGTGTTGAGAGATGCACTGGCTTGTGTGTGAACATACTGGACTTTAGATCAAGAGGTCTGGGTTCAAGCCCTGGGCTAAAGTGATTGTGTTCTAGTCTTGGCTAAGAGGCTTTACTCTCACAGTGTGTCTCTATATCCAGGAGTATATAGATGGCTACTAATGAACTGACCAGTATTTCATATACATGTTGAGTGAATAAGAGTACAGTCTTTAAGTGGCTGAATGGTATGGGACCTGGAAGAAGCTCATGCTACAGTTATTATCTGCACCTTGTATATGTAAGGTGATTTTCCAAAATATATCTCTAGTTCTTTACAAATCTTTGATAACAATTGTAACAATGGGAAAGGTTAAAATTAATAGATGTTGGAGAATACCTTTTGTTTTATTCATAATAGCTTGTTATTGTATGTCTCAGGTATTTTCAGTGCAGCACATGATCTGAAAATAGAGTGGGTTGTCGTCAAGGGTATTTCAGGATATGCAGATGGAACTGAAACAAAAGAAAACTGGCAAACATTTGCAAGTGTGACAGCAGCTTCTCTTGTTGTCAGCATTCTAAAGGAATGCAATATTTTTGAAGATTGGCCACATTACAAAGGTAAACAGATCAACTTTTATCTTTTTGTTTAGTTTTCTGTTTTATAAACGTGCTGGAACCGAGTACCAAAACTGAATTGAAAACATGAAACTATGATCATGTGCTGACCAATCAGATCAACTCTTGGATCAGAAATGTTACATGTTCATTAGCAATTTCACAAGCTTTGCTCATGTATGTTGCACTAGGCTTTAAGATAATGACCTTGACGTCAATTCAACATACAGGAACTCAAGTTTTTGATAGTATTTTCCTCTGGGAAGAAGACCACCAACCCCCCAACCGCCCCAATAATACACCTAGAAACTCCTGCCTTCTCCCCCCCATCAGCACAACCCCCATTTTAGAAACCACACCCAACCCACATTCCCTTAATTGGTCCAACAAAGGGCCAACACTAGAAACATCAGCTTTACGGTGGCAAATTTGCATTATTACGTCAGTTAATGAAACCAAATTATCATTGCTAACTGAACATTTGATTCACATCACTCAATAGTAGTAAGGGTAATCCTATGATAAACTCCTGTTAGAAATGGATGCTAACCCTTATGAACTTGCGATTTATGTTGGAGCAAATTTGTTGTTTTAGACATGAAACCTTGTTGGTTAAAGTTTCATGAATTGTCTCTGTAGCACATGATCCCTTCGTGGAGTGCACTGTCATCAAGGGAAGTTATTTAGAAAATGATGAACGTTATATATTTCAAAATTATTGAATGAACATGGACAATAATTTATGTTCATTGGGACAAATTAGAGGTGGGAAGAAGTTTCGTCTCCATGCACACTAATGGAAGACCCAAAGAGTAATGTTCCCTTTAATGTAGGGAAGAGAACATTTATCAAGCTGTTTACTTTTGCTTTCATTTTGGCCTTCTATGCAGTATCCCTACTGGAATTTCGACCTGCATTAATATCCTTTAGAGTATAGCCAACTTGCGCACCATTTATCTCTGGTAATATATCTAATCTTGCAATTCAATGAAAATACGATTACATACAAGTATAGTGCCTAAATTCTCAGACACCATGCTTTTTGGCCACTGTATCTCCTATGTACATTGTTGACAGTGCCTCGAAACTGGAAAAGTGTCGTTTCATTTGTCGGTAACCAAATCAAAGCGAAGGAAGATCATTTGTTGCGTTTTTGTTTTTTTCATGTAGTTTTCTGATAGCGCAAAATTCACTCACTACTTAACTGCCAGCTATAAGTGTAAGGTTTCCAGTATTTCCTCCTGCTTTTTAGGCTTTGGTATCCATTGATCGTAAGAAACGAACTGGTGATTTTTTTCATCAGAGATAAATGTTTCAATGAATAGCTAAGTCAATATCAGTATGCTGGAAAGCAACATGACACCTACTAGAATGCAAAGATACAGAAAATACCGTTGTAAACTTCCCTTTTTAACGACTCTGTCTTTCTACACTGGCTGTTTATTTTACAGAAGGGATAGTTTTTTCCAAGTATTTTGCTTGAATTTTAAAAAGACAAGAAAATGATAGGTCTCTAAACTCAAAAAAAAAATTGAGCCTGTGTATGCGAGCCTTCATATCACGTGCAAAACGGTATATATAACATGTAGGGATGTGTAATGCACTCGCACAAAATGGCCCTAAACAAGGGAAAAACCTTAAAACTTTTAAGCGGAAAAGCGAAATCGTCAAGGCTGCACAAAGCTTATCTATTGACCGAAAACATCTGTCCCAATTAGTTTTTTTAACATTCGTTAAGAATGTGATACAAGTATGCATGTGCTACAAGTGCCTTTGCAAGTATTCATTTTTAGTTATCCGAGTGTCTTAACTCCAAAGAAAAGAAAAACTCGTTTGGCAGGTAAAACAAGGACATATCTATGGACGTGCCCATTAGCCCTCATCCCAGTGATGAAGATTTAGAGTGGCTTTACCCAAGTTGCTTATTGTGTGGAAAAGAGTGTTTTAGAGCTTTTCACTCGATTGCAAACTATAGATGTAAATGGTATGTCGCCAAATCCAATTACGTGGTGATGAAAATAGATATAGAATATCATTATCTGCTGGCGAGAATATATATATCAGAAAACTGAAAAACATACACATTCTTTGTTTTTCAATCGCATTGCTGTGAAAAAGAACTTTCAAAAAGTCTGAGATAGGAACAAATTCACTTTGGTAGCTTTAATTCCAATTTTGAAGTCATGGATAATGTTCTAAAATTCCAGATTAGAGAGGGTTAATAAGAAATTACTCAAAC